AGTTAGTTACACGAATTCAGATATGGGATGAAATCGGATAGGGATGAACAGGTTTAAGAGTTTTAAGAGTTTTTAAGAGTTTTTGTCAAATGCTTTATAATATAGTATAGATAAAGTTAACTCTAGAATAAAATTAAATTTAGAAATGAAACTATAACAGTAAATTAAATTTAAACTTAATAGTAAATTTAAAACGACTTTTTAGACTTGTACTCTTGAAATAACTATTAATTATAACTCTGAAGAATGACTTTAGATTTGAACTTGTACTATTGAAATAACTCTAAAGTAAAACTATTCAGACTTCAGAGCTCTGTATAATCAAGAAAAGTCAACTTATGTCGACGTTCGCCATAAATCCTCCACAAATCCATCACTGAATTTAAAAATAAAATAAAATTTTATCTCTACAACTTTCCCGACAGATTTATAACGGATTTTTTTACTTATTTAATATTGTCACAAATCCGTCACAAAATTAGTCTAATTTATTTAAATTAAACTAATTAGCGTTAATTAATTAAATTTACGACGGATTTTAATTGATTTTTATATTTAATTATACTCCGTCGAAAATGTTTAACAAAACTTTTTTTTTATTCTTTTCCATTCTAAAAAAATATGTTTAAAAAAAATCCGACGGATTGTAATTTTCTAATAAAAAGTTGTATTCCGTCGAAATTTATTTAAAAAAAATATGTTTTATAAGAAAAAATAAAAAACTTTTTTTATTAAATTCCGACGGAATATAATTTTTTATTATAAAAATTATTATTCGTCGGAATTTTTGAACTTCTTTTAAATATATATTTTTGGAAGAAAAAAATATAAATAAAACTTCTTTGAACATACTGACGGATTTCAGACGGAATTTGCATTTAACGGCAGGGGGTTTTCCAACGGCAATATCCGTCGGATAATTGTTTTTCCTACGGATTTCCGACGGATTTTGTCATTGGAAAAACCACATTTTTTAGTAGTGATCAATCAAATTGATATAATTGAACTGTTAATGTAAATTGTGTCTATATACGTTCAAATGAGTCTAATTGAACCACTAATGTAAATTGTGTCTAGATACGTGTTTAGACGGAAAAACAAGAAAACCGTCTCACCAAAAGATGACACGTGTTACCTAAATTATTTATTTATTATAAGTATAGATATGTGTGTCTTTTATTTATGTAACCAGGCCAAAAGGAAAGATTCTACTATGGCTGCTTCAAACTATCAAAGTCCTGTTTGGTCATCTCTAAGTTAGAATTGAGTTATTCAAGTCAATATCTACTTGAAAACAAAGATCCTTGACTTCTCATTTCAAAACAATCATTCTTGTAACAAACATATTATATATATATATATATATATATATATGGAAGGGTTCAAACGAGAACCCTTGTGATTTGCAAGAACACGAGAACAACTTATTAACCTCATATTATGATAACAATAAGACTTAAACGATTTTTTAAATAAAAAATGAAATTAAAACAATTCAAAAAAAATTGAGAGGCAAAAGGGTAATATTGGAATTCAAAGTGATAAAATTTTAAAACACGGTCACACTAAACCCAAAAATCTGGATAACATAATAGGCTATTATGGTTATTGCTTATTTCAACACGATTTGGTGTGATTTGGGTGTGATAATCATGTGATTATCACACAAATATAACAAGGATTCCGCTCGGCTAGGGTTAACTTAGGAAATCGACTACCAATTTGGTGTGATATGGGTGTGATAATCATGTGATATCATTATCATAACAGCGCACCCGATTTGATCATGGTTTCGATTGGTTAGGGTTAGATAATCACACATTTATCACAATGATTACTGATGGTTTCGATAGGTTAGCATTAGACAATCACACATTTATCACAACGATTACGGGCGAAATCCACTAAACGATTTGGTGTAATATGGATGTGATAATCATGTGATATCACTATTATAACATCACTTACGCACTCAATTTGATCATGGTTTCGATCGATTAGGGTTAGACAATCACACATTTATCACAACGATTACTCATGGTTTCGATAGGTTATAGTTACACTCGATTGATCATGGTTTCGATAGGTTATAGTTACACAATCACACAATTATCACAAGAGAAGAAAAAAGAGTGGAAACGAACGTAATCAATCCAAAAAAAAAGGATAATTATAATTAATTAAAATAAAATAAAAATTATAAAAATTACTTAATTACATTACTGTCCTTATTAATTTATTTATATTTAATATAAGTTAATTTATTAATTAAAAAGTTTGAGGTCATTGGGTTGTTCTCGCATTCTCGAAAATCACAGGGGTTCTCGTTTGAACCTCCATATATATATATATATATATATATGTGTGTGTGTGTGTGGATTTTTTAGAATAGAGGTTTTAGAAGTTGTTTTCACGTGATAAGAAGAATGAAAGTAGAACTGGTTCAGTTTTGATGTAACTTATCATATTTCCTTTGTATATTTTCGAAAATATAGCCTCACCAACAGAATTTTGTTAATCGACAAATTAATGAGCAGATGATACCGGAGACCACTATACTTTGCCAAAAGTTTATCATAGGCATCTGCATGAAGAAATCTGTCATATGAATCCCACTAGATTTTTAACAAGGTGTTATTTGATTATTTTAATTCTAGTTAAAATGGGCTAAAAATAACTAGCAATTTATAGTTACCATTCCAGCATTCAAGCGACATCGTATGAGGTTTTGTATGACCGAAAGTGTAGAACGTCGTTATGTTGGAATGAAGTGGGGGATAAGCAGTTGGTTGGTCCAGAGATTGTTCAAATAACTTCGGAAAAGATAGATCAAATACGAGAACGAATAAAAATAGCTCAGGACCGACAAAAAAGTTACGCCGATAAACGCAGTAAACCGATTGAATTTCTGGTATGAGATTTTGTAATATTAAAAGGTTCTCCGTGGAAGGGTATTATTCGATTCAGGAAAAGAGGTAAGCTTAGTCCGAGGTACATTGGGCCGTTCATAATTTGTAAGCGGATTAGTTCAATAACATATTAGTTGAAGTTGTCTGAGGAACTCAACGCTATTCACAACACTTTTCATGTCTCTAGCTTGCCAAAGTGTTTAGCCGATCCAAATTTAGCAGTACCACTACCCGAGGTACAAATTGATAGTAAGTTGAATTATGTGGAAACCCCTGTGGCCATCACTGAACGGAAGACAAGACTTTTAAAAAATAAAGAAATCAGTCTACTGAAAGTACTGTGGCGTTTTCATAAGGTTCAGAAGCTACATGAGAATTGAAATCAGAAATAAGATCAAAATATCCTCAGTTGTTTGATTGATTGAATTCCGGAACGAAATTATTTTGAGGAGGGGATAATATGATAACCGGGTTATTTGGTAAGTTGAAGGGCTTGATGTGTTTATATGCCTAGTTAAATTTAAAAAGCAATTTCCACCACCGCCTCAATGGTTTAATTGGTTTTAATATGAGATATTCTTAATATCTCATGGGTATTGTTAAGTTGGTGAAAAAGTTTTCTGTGTGTTTGCTTTTTTGTATGAAGAAAACAGAAGCCAAAGGAAGAGTAAAACAAGAAGTTGATTATGTGATTAAACTAAATACTTGTAGTTGTTTCAATCGTCATCTCTTGTGATCATAAGGTGAGTTTAATTTTACAAATTTTTCTTATTTGGAAATTAGATGTAGAACCGTATGGTTTTTTATAGGTAGAGATGTTTACAAAACTGTTTTGGGATGTTATATTTGGCATAATTGTGAACTTTGATATGTTTATATCATGAGTGGTAATAAGAGTGGTATATCAAGAATGAGTGTATATTGGTTATATGAGTGACATATCAAGTAGATGTGTATACTAGGATAAGGGGGGCAAAATCATGAGTTATAAAATATGGGTTTTGATCAAACATTCATTGTTATCGCATCCTTATGATGCGATGACTTGAAGTTGTCGCATCTATGTGATGAGATGACTTAAAATTATTGTATTCTATTGATGCAATAAAAAGTTGTTATCGCATCTATATGATGTGAGGAGTGAGTTTTATCGCATCCTTGTGATATGACAAGTTGTTTTATCGCATTCTATTGATGCAACAAGAAAGGTTTATCGCACTAGTATGATGAGATGAGTTAAGGTCCTCGCACCAGTGTGTTGCGAGGAAATGGGGTTGTCTCATCCATGTGATACGAGAAAATTTTATAATCAGCTATATGATGCGAGAAGTTTACTCAGAATGTGTTTATCAAGTTATTTGGCTATTTTGATGCGATAAATGATGTTCGTTGTATCAAAACGATGTATAATTTTTATTATTACAAACATGAGTTCGTAAATGTGATTTGGTGATTATTCACCCGTAATAACATTAAAGAGATTTCTCATATATCTCAAGGTCTAACCCTCATTTTGTATTTTGAAAATAAGCATTACATGTCGCACTCAATCATAAGATAAGGGAAATGAAAAATTGTAAATTGTTATAAATATGTTTGCATGGGATTTTGGGCTAACATATTCTTATTTTGTATCTGAATACTTGTTATGTATTCAAGTATTGTGTAGAGATTTTGTAGAAAAATTTAGTAGCAACTTTGTAATATAGTTGTTGTAATTAATGAGACTAGTTGTGTAAAATATATTTCATGATATATAAAAATATATGTTTATATACAAATATAATATTGAAATGTTAAATGCTTTAAATTGAATTTTATTAACCTGTTTGAGAAGAACTTTTTGAACCTTATGTAGTTGTTTTAGTAACTTTTCAATAAAGCTTAAATTAAATATTATAATAGTTATTTTATTATTTTTCATAGGATTTAACATAAATATCATTAATGAAAAAGTTAGCTAACCTTTCTTTCTTACCATTTTATATAGAATGGTGGATCACTGGTGGGGTATAGGATTTGGAAGATAAGTATTAGTATTTTTAACCGCTTGAGGATTTTGAGCGCTTGATTGAAGGAGTTGTTTCTCTTCATCTGAGAGAGCTCGTCAGACCATGGCGAAGACTACTACGGTGAATTTGGAGGCGATGATATGATCGAAGGACGATATGGCAACAAGGATATCTACTCAGTGGCTCTAACCCTAACACCCAAAAATCATCGACACAAAGTTCTTGATTTTTTGCAATTTCTTCGATCTAAAACTCATTTCTATGGACCAAACTAAATTATCTTCTTGAATCATGTGTAATCAAATCTGATCGATTCAAAGATATGCACTTCCTGTCATTTCACTTCAGTTGAGCTTTGTTCATATTACTGTGAGTTTATTGCATTTTGAAATCTCATGTTGAGTTCATGATAACGTATTTATTATTATTTCTCTGTGCAGTTTGTATGACGAGATTAATTCAAAGCAATTAATTTCAAAATATTTTTGTTTTTTTGTGGAAGTTTGGTCAAAAGAACAATTATATAAAAGAGTAAACTACGGTTTTGGTCCCTATGGTTTGATGTAAATTGTGTTTTTGAAATTATAATTTTCATCCCTGTAGTTTATAGTTTATTGTTTTTTCGTTCCTCTAGTCTTAATACATTGCTTTCGGCAGCAAAAAAGTTACAAACTAGAGAGAAAAATGATAATTTTAAAAGTACAAGGAAGAAACTTGTAATTCCAAAGAAACAACAGGGACGAAAATGTAACTTACTCCAAGTAAAATGGTGTAAAATATGGCAAGTTTTCTGAGTTCACACCTAATAGGATTCAAAGTCCGCTTTAACTAAAGTCATGACCTCAGATCTATCAGTTGCATCCTAAAAACTTTACCAATTCCTTTCTAGGGTTTTTGCCTTAGGTTTGCTACTACTTAAGTTTCTTGAGTTCGTATTCTGTATGATTCAGATTTTTCTTTCGGTTTGTGTAACTGAAGGGATGAACTCGAATCTACATGTTAAAAATGCTTCCAAAAATCACGAAGACCTCTAATTTTACAAATTTTTGCAAAGGGATTTTGGTTTAGATTTGCCGATACTTCAGTTTTGATTAGTTTGTTTCTGAAATTTTGAAGGGAGGACTTGAGATTGGCATGATATATCATCAAGATGTCATTCAAAAACATTGTGCGCGAGCTGGGGGATGCGATTGGTAACATGTCAAGAAGAGGAATTGAAGGGAAACACTGGCGAAACTGTACTCGATCGCATATTGCTCCTGATGTAGCTCCATCGGAATCGATAAGCGAAGGCCAGTGGGCACACTTGCCTCCTGAACTGCTTTTGGATATAATTCGTAGGGTTGAAGAGAGTGAGACGTCTTGGCCGGCCAGAACTGTTGTCGTCTATTGTGCATCAGTTTGTAAGCCATGGAGGGATATTACTAAAGAGATTGTGAAGACTCCTGAAGAATGTGGAAGGTTAACATTTCCTATCTCGTTGAAGCAGGTTAGATTTTGGAATTTGGTTCCTAATTAGACACCAAAGTTGCTCTGTTACTGTTTATGCTGCTTAATATTTTATCCTTTTATCTCCTAAAATAGCCGGGTCCTCGTGATTCTCCAATTCAGTGCTACATAAAAAGAGATCGAGCAACTTCCACTTTCCGTTTGTACTTTGGGCTGACTCCATGTAAGTGATCATGCCTTGTTTTCCAAACAAATAATTTGCTCAAGATTTATGTATGCTTACATCTTACCCTTCCCAGACCCGTATCAACCCCATATCTTTGTGGGATATACCGAGTTCGTTTGGTTTATTTATATATGATTTCACCTTAACATGTTCTGTTTCATGAATGATTGGTTATGATCAATAATCACACACGAAATCATGCAGACAATACTCATATAAGACCATATCCATTGTCTTTCTTATTATGTTTGTTTATTCTAGTAGTAAGTTTAAAAGATGTTCTAATTCCTTTTCTAATAGGAATTGAGACAGTAATAAATTGGACATGCAATTGTCTTCCTAACAGTCAAGAATTCCACGAAATCATGCATTGGTTTGGTCCAAATTAGGTCTCTTATCCAACATAATGGTGTGGTTTTTTTACTCCTATGCAAAGCCCACAAACAAGACTGTAATCTGTTTGTAGCTTGCCATTTTGTTCATCTTTGCTACTTGACGCAGTTTAACTAGTCATTAGCCGTTTCTGTTACTCTCTTATTCCAATGTAAAACCTCCATGAAGAAATCAGTCACATAGATCTGGGTGCATCTGTGCATTGTAAGTTACTTCCATAACAAGATTGTTTGTTCACAAATTACATCTTAGTCTTTCGGCCCTGTTTCTTATTTTTAAACTCTTTCCTCTAATAAGTTTGCTTGATTGACAGCTGAAGACGAGAGTGATAAGTTATTGTTGGCAGCCAAAAAGACTCGAAGGGCAACAAGTACAGAATTCTTGATTTCTTTGGTTGCAGATGATTTTTCAAGAGCAAGCTCTACTTACGTTGGCAAACTGAGGCAAGTTTTCGCTACTAAAAGAATCAATAAACGTGTATCTTGCACTTCCTCTGTATCATGAATTTTGCATAATTTTCTGTCAAAATTACCACTTCTCTCGTTATCATCATTGCAAACAAATTTATGACATTGGTTTGGGTCTGCAAGACTTTTTATTTGCCTATTGACAGGTATTTTACATATTCCACCAAAATCTTTTCTTTTTTTTTAACAGGTCTAATTTTCTTGGAACCAAATTCACCATGTATGATAGCCAACCTCCAAGTGATGAAGCCTTTCAAGCTAATCATAGCCGTTCAAGTCGAAGATTCCATACAAAGCAAGTATCTCCTCGACTCCCCGCATGTAACTACAACATAGCCACTATGTCGTATGAGCTCAATGTACTACGTACACGAGGTCCTAGAAGAATGAACTGTTCCATGCATTATATACCCATCTCCTCAATCCAAGAAGGGGGCACTGCTCCAACTCCAAAATCTTTCCCACAGTCCTCCGAAGAGATACTTCCCCTTTCATCACCTTCTATGAAAGGGAAATCTATATCCGACACCATCTGCAAGGACTCTTTGGTCCTTATCAACAAATCCCCGAGATGGCATGAACAATTACAATGTTGGTGTCTGAATTTCAAAGGCCGTGTTACAGTGGCTTCTGTGAAGAATTTTCAGCTCGTAGCTTCTGTTGATCCTTCTCAAAATGTGCCGGCTGCAGACCAAAATAAAGTGATTCTACAATTTGGGAAGATTGGACAAGACATTTTCACAATGGATTATCGATACCCACTATCTGCATACCAAGCCTTTGCTATCTGCCTTAGCAGTTTCGACACAAAACCAGCATGCGAATGACATGAGTCTCATTGTGAGTTATCAGGTCAGTCTTATCTTTGCGTAGTCACTCACTCCACACACAAAATTGTCTAATGCTGATAATATGTTAGCTGCGAGATGAGTAGTTTCTCCTTGTAGCAATTGTAGTTATGACAAACATGTGTTTTGTTATTTAAACTCTTTCAATTTATCTCTTCGCGTTAAATGTGTTATATAGCTTGGAAATTAGAGGTCAATTTGTATTTCACCACTCAACCACAGCTTGGTGACTTAGTTTTAGCCTTTGGATGTCTTACCTCGATTGCAGGTTTTGGTTACACGACAAGAAAGCTCATTTAGATAGCACCTGATGCCGAAAAGAAACAAACTAACGGCCAGCAAATTAACACCAAAAGCATGTTTAGGACATATAATCAAGATCCATTGATGGTATATAACCAAATGGTGAGTGATTTATTTAGTTCAAATTAATGCTGCAGATTGAAGAAAGTCAACAATACCATCAAAGTGTAACATAAATTATCTAACCCAAACCCTAGATTTCTGTACCTCGCCATCCTTTTGCCTCCAGTAACATTCACACACAAGAAAACAGAAGTTGTTGCAATAAATCATGAAACAATGTTTGAGGAAACCATGAGAAAGAAGGATGGATGAAGTACCGAACTCTCCAAATGATGAACATAGCCTGGTAATAAAAAAACAGGGTATTTGGTCCATTTACCGAAATTCCTATGCTTTTCAACATAACGGCCTACGCTATTACTAGCTCCTCCTAATCTTGCCTCGACCTTCATGCTGGCAAGCTGAGTTCACCGCCACTGGCGTCTGGCTGCTGCTGAAAGTTTGCGATATAAGCAGGAAACTTGATTGCATAATATAATAGTTCAAAAACAAGTTTGTTATTATAGTTGGCATCATCACTATAAATTGGTATGAATTGAGGGGGATTAAAGATGTAATGTTTACTTACCTGTTCAGGCAATGAGTTGAAGTCCACACTTGTAGTTGAAGCAGCAAGTTTCATGGTTAGAAACTGAAAACAGATGGTAGACAAAAAGTTCTAAATAAATAAGTAGATATTGGTTCTTTTTTTATTTTATTTTTGGAAGGGTGTCTCAGGCTATATCCCGACTAATCCCAACAAATTACTGTAAGATATCAACTCTGATAAACTCGGTGGCGACAATTGTTATAGATTGAATCAATAATATTTTCTTATAGAAAAACAAATAAGAAGTACCTCAACTTCCCTTTGAAGGCATTGAACATAAGTAATGATTTCATCAAGAATGGCAGCCTTGTTGGTGATTTTGTTGCACCCTGGCACCAAATCTTGCAAATCTTGCATTTTCTTTTTTATTTTCTCCCTTCGTGCCTAAAGTAAATATTAAAAAAATAATGATCATGTCTGGATGAAATAGCAAGTAAGAATGAAGGAAGGAAAGATCTGGTAAGTAACCGACTCTTTCGGCTAAGCTGTGGCTATCAGTGGCCTGTCCACGACGAGCTCTAACATGAATGTAATCGGCCTTTGGATCGATCTTTGGTTTTGAATCACCTTCAAGTTCATCTATGTGCTTTTCAGCCTTCACTTCGACGACATCAAACTAAAACAAAACATCAAAAACACAAACTTATGTACAAAATGAAAATTGTCTTAGAGACGATCTAAGTAAAAAATGATTGTATTTTTTTTAACATTTAGGTAATGTTAGGGGTCGTTTACCAAATGCTTATCCAAGTAAGCGTTTATCAAGTCATATTACCTTACCGGGTGAATATGACAAGGACCAAGAATCTTATCTGGTAAGAGCGAGACAGGGAACAAGAGTCTTACCACGGTAAGAGCGAGACAGGGAACAAGAGTCTTACCACGGTAAGAGCTTATCAGGTAAATTATTACATATGATACCGTTTTGGTGGATTAAAATCTTATCCGATAAATAAGTAATAGTGTTGAATTTTACCGGTAAACATTTATCGAGTAAGTTTTTTGTAAACGGCCCCTTATGTTTTTTTTACTATTAAATAACGTTGGGTTGAAAGAGACTTATCAAACTAAATAACAAAAATCGAAGAATATTGACATTTTTAACTTTTTCTCTTAAAATACCTTTGGAATTTTCAATAAAAAAAATTTATAATGATGTCAAACACATGACATTCTTCAAGTACATGTATTTTATTCGGCATAAAATGTCAAGAATGATGCAGATGGTACCTCTTACGAGACCGTTGGTTAACTAGAGCAGCCGCCCACTTGTAACAAGCCGTCTTTTTTTACCACGTTATTGAAAACTCGTTAAATTAAAAAGCAGCAAATTTAACCAAAAGATAAGGATCGTGTGAAAATAACACTTAAAAGTTGAAAAACATAATAAAAAATCTGGACTTTTGATCACTTTTAATCCTATTTATCATGAGAATTAATCCAGTGTATCTTAGTCCACTGCATTAGTGTTGATTTTCTAAGATTAATCCAAGGGTGGAGATTGATTCTTACTTTTTTCTCCCCGTAACTCAACCCTTGATCAAAATAGTCGATCTTCCCAACCAAATTCACTTTTTAGTCATTTTTTCAATGAAATTCCTATTTTAGCCGGACTTCACTCACATGCTTTATCCATTTGCACAAACTCGCTTTTCAGATTAAATAAAAAAGACAAAATATCTTTACGCATATTTGCATAAGGATCCCCGTCTGCATAAAGAATTTTTTCTACCTTTTTTAATCTGAAAATAAGTTTTACCGGAAGGAATTTGATTGAAAAAATTATCAATTTTGATCAATTTCCGTTACAAACCTCTATATAAAATTCTATAATGGTTGTTAATTATAAGAACATCTTTTGTGGGTAAGTTAAAAATATATAAAATAATAAAATGCAATTTTAGTTGGCGGTAAAAACCAAGTTTCTTATATCCAAAAATATAAAAATTCTAGCCACTTAAAACTTTCGATCAGAGATGTTCTCAGAATAAAGATCTGAATGAAAATATGGAAGAACGGATGATGAGAATGGGTTTTATTACCTTTAAATGGAAAAGTTATTGAATAATGTCGTGTTATTGAAATATCAGCTCATTCTATCAACTTTGCTTTGCAACATAATTCCAATTGAATTGTTGGAGCCACACTCAAAAAACAAGATAAAACTGAGATGAAAAATGAATTGTTTTTGCACCAGATGTGTTCATAGCGTTGATTGATGTATAGAATTGAGAAAAAAAATCTGGTTTTCACCTACAATTCTGCAACCAATAAGCAATTGTTCAAACATGTGGTTTAGCATTCATAATCTAGTCCGATCGGTGGAACCTAATTTGAATCTATTATCGAAGAATCATTGAAATAATAATGCATCGACAAACCTCGAGTTTTCTCTTCTTCGCGCTCTGATTCTGATCATTGATGGCGGTTACCTTCGATAATTCATCAATGGACGAACTCGACAAGTCCGTGAAAGGACTTCCGTCGAACTCACTCCACTGAAAATGATCGGTTACGTCAAAGATACCAGGAGAGGGAAAAGCGGAATCAATCAACCAGTTAAACTGAGATTCAACGTTTACTAGACCTCGTTGAAGGTGAGGAGGCATTTGATGGCGTGAGGGTGGAGATTGGTGTAAGATCTGTAAGATTTCCGGCATTATGAGGATCTCCGACGATTGAAGCCACCGTGAATGTGGTAAAGGAGGATGAGTGTATTTCAGGAGAGATTTATAGAGAGAGATTGGGTGGAACAAGGACGAATGGGTTCCATAACCATTAACGGCGGTGGACGGGACCACCAAACCGACGGTGTTCAAATCAACTTCATTTCAGGCGAAATCCAACAGGCAACAACTGTGATCGTTGCGTGTTCGATTTTTGCTCTTACCATCTCCGTCCTTCAAAAATGTTCTGCGAGTTGATTTGACACTTGCTTACAATTAAGTTGCTTCAACCATCACCAAATTCTTTACAACACTTCTTACAATTAAAACAACTTGGTGGTAAACTAGAGTTTTATAAAAAGTGTTTGGATTAGCTTGTAGCGGTACCATATCGGATAAGTTGATAAAATAGATGAGATATCATTTTCTTTTCTCATCCAAACACTAAAAACTCCTTATTATCAGTACCACATCAGAATAAGTTAAAAGGAAATAACTTATTAACTTATTAGAAACCCTTTATTACCGGTGCCAAACTGGGATAAACATTTTCTTTCTTTTTCCATCCAAACATTAAAAACTTCTTATTACCGATACCACACCAAAATAAGTTTTTTATAAGAACTATTATTATGGAGTTTTATGTAAGTATTTAATTATGGAGTTTTATATAAAATTTTAATTTAATGACATGAATATAATGTGGTAAGAAAAGATACAAAAACTTTGTTCTTATAATATTCACTATGTGCTTTTAAAAAGGTTTTTGGGAGATTTTCATTTTTTTGAGGTTTTGGTCATAACTACACGACCTGTTTTTTCAGAGATTTTTCGTATTTAATCAATTTTAATAAATGTTTCATATTTGATCAGTTTTATTTATTAATATAATTAAAGTAATCATATTTAAATAAAAAGAATAAAATAAATACATAATTAAATTAATTATGTTTTTTTATATATGTTTAAATTAACGTCTCAAATTTGACATGTTTTTAGTGGTTGGGTTGGCGAAACACTAAAATAATACTATAAATACTGAAAATGATGAGTCATTTGAACATTAAAAAAACTCAACTCCAACCACACACTAAAAAATAAAATATTAATATTAATGTTTTTGTTGTTTTCTTATTGTATGGTTGGAGTTAGGTTTTTTTAGTGACTTTAATAACTAATATCAATGTTTTTAGTGTTTTTTTTATTGTGTTGTTGGAGTTGAGTTTTTTTAGTGTCTTTAATAATTAGTATTAATGTTTTTTTATTGTATGGTTGGAGTTGGAGTTTTTTTAGTGTTGAAGGGGTCTACTATTTTTTTCTTTTTTTGATTAACCTGGATATCTAATCCGCTATTCGAGCCGACTAATCCCAGGGTGACCATCTGCTTTGCAGATAGCCCGGAGTCACCACATTTGAACCTCCGTGGGCACAAGGTGATTTTTATTCCTCCTTGGATTTGAATCTGGTACCTCCTGTTACTTTTGACCTTTGGAGTCAAGCTCAAACCAATCAGACACCACTCTTGTAGTTGGGTCCACTATTTTTAGTGATTGGGTTGGAGATTTCATTAATAAACAAGGTTGCATTTATGTCAAAAATAAAAATCAGGTCAAATCATGTATTGGAAATGTAAAAATAAACATAGATGTTGATGTGTGTAAAACAGGAATTAGTAGGTAGGGTACATTTTAGTAAGGAAATTGGTCAAAATAGTCATTCTTTTCACAGAAATTGGTATCTCAACCATTCATCTCCCTGATTTACTCAAATATCACCATCTCCATAAGTGACACCTCCTCCACTTACGAACATAACTAAAAGACAAAAAAAAAATCAAATTCAATCCAGGTTAGTATGTGGTGCCTCCCTAATTGCGAAACTGACCGTCACAATTGCGGACCTAGTTTAAATCTGTTTTTTTTCTTTTCTTTTAGCTAGGTCTGCAAGTGAGGGAGGTGTTACTTGCGGAGGTAGTGATATTCAGGTAAATCATAGAAATGAATGGCTAGAAGACCAATTCATGAGGGAAAAAAATGGTTATTTCGGTTAATTTCCTATGGAGATTGCTATATGCACCATTTTAAATTCACTCAAATCAACTAATGCATTTGGAATGTAAAAAGTGAGTTTGATGTACATACGTATAAGGAGGAAATTACTAGGTAGGAGTGTAATTAGTCCATCCTTTAGCAATATATAGGGGTGCATTTAACGTACCCCAGAAGGTGGGTTAAATGAATCTCTATATACTAATTTTATTCTTACATACATCAACATCAATATTTGTTTTTTATATTTTTAATGTATGATTTGACTTGATTTTGACATAAAGAGTGATGCATATAGTATTACCCATGTCCAGGGCCGTCCCTGAGGGAGGGCGGCACGGGCGCATGCCCAGGGCCCAAAAATATCAGGAGCCCAAATTTTTCATAAAAAAATATAATAGTAGTCTAAAAGAATTTAATGAAATAAAGAAACTCAAAAATTGTAACATATAATAAGAAGCAACAAAAATTAGTACATAATAAGGGCCAAAAATATATTGGAAAATAAAATAAAAAAATTAATTGATCATTCATTATATGCTATTGTTTATTGTCCCTCTAATTTTTTTTTTATCTTCAACAAGGTCCAATGATATTGGTTATTGTTATCTCTATATGCTTGACTGTTTTCATGCTTCAACAATTCAACGTTAAGATCATGTGTTTGTTATTGCTATATATTTTTGTTGGATATTTTTATCAATTTCTGCTTCTATTGACTATTGTTATTTGGCTATGTTGTTCTAATTGTTTTTGTTGACTATTGTTAAATATTTTTGCTTATACATAAAATATTTTACTATTGTTTGACAATCAATCTATTGTTCTTATAATTTATGATGTGTTTCATAGTTTTGTGACTAATCAATAATTTTTTTCTTCTAGATGTATTTAATAATGTCTCTTATATATGTCATGTTTCATAAACTTATAATCTTAACATCTTATTTTAGTTGAGCAAAAAAAGAAGAAAAATAAAATTTAAATATTTTCATCAATTGTTTGACTTATATATCTTTTACTGGGATTCCACCGCACTACAAGATTCTATTTAAGTACTCAAAYAATCATTTGTTGAGCTTGCATATTATATGTTTAATTCATTATTTATTCTTATTAGATTTCAAAGAATCATCTTTTCTTTCATATTCGTATTGATCATCATTTGTTTACTTGTCTAGAAAACCTTGATAATCTTCTTTATTATTGATCTCTCATTGACCCTTACGATTACTCCATTCATACAAATTCTCGTTTTCTTAATCAAAATAACACATATTTCTTGTTATGAACTAGAAAAATTCTCACTTTTTATAAAAAATTATCAACCATAGTTTTTTATATACTCCTGGTTTCAAATTACCTAATAAGAAGTACGTAAATTTAAGTAACCACAACGGCGGTGCCTTATTGGTTTGAGCTTGACTCCAAAGGTCAAAAGTACCTAGAGGTCCCAGGTTCAAATCCAAGAAAGAACAAAAATCCCCTTGTGGCCACGGAGGTTCAAATACAGTGACTCCGGGATACCTTCAAAGCAGGTGGTTGTCCTGAGATTAGTCGGCTCGCATAACGGGTTGGATATCCATGTTAATAAAAAAAAAATTGAGTACTCTCTTATATATCTATAGTAAGATAAATAAGATTTTTTTTCTCAGTAAATTGTTAGCATTTCTTGTACTCAATTTTATACTAATGAAAGACACTTATTGAATTTTACCGATAGTCAGTACAAGAAAAGTGAGTTTTGACGATGCGTCTTTTAGCGATGACATATTTCCACCATAGGCTATAACGATGACATGTTGGTATATACTATTTCTGATGATAAATGGACTTTCATCGACGACAAAAGTCGTTGCTACAAATCTTGTTTCTTACAGTGGGTCATGTTTTTACGTTCGCCCAGGGCCCATAAAATGTCAGGAACGGGCCTGCCATGTCTAAAATGGTTTTTGGGTTTGGCCCAATTTTTTAAAGATGATAGATATTAAAATAGAGATTTAGGAATTTTTATGCTACAACAGCTATATTAATATATATGTTTAAATAGAAAGAAAGAATGTAGAATTTTCTAAATTTAAAAAGAGCTACAACAGCTATGTTTTAGAAAATTTATAGTATACTTGTTGGAGATTTTGGAGATGCTCCCATACACTTTGGTCTTTGGATTCGAGGCAGTATATTATGACTATTTAATCTATAAGACAGTCTCAACGATCATATCATTTTCTGAATCAAAATAATGTAAACAATAATTCATTTCCAACTTGTTATATCATTTGATTCATTTTTAATACCAAATAGAATATTTTGAGCGTATTCTTTATTCCAAACTTACATATATAGTCAAGTTCATAGAAAACAATAACTAAATAAGAGAACAAGAAAATGGTCGAATCACATGTGATTTTACGCTAAAATCATATATAAAATCACATGTAATTCATGCAACTTTGGTGCTCGTACACCTTTTTGTTGATGCTTAATGTAAAATCACATATGATTTTATACTTGATTTGTCTGTTTTCATATTCTTTTATTTAATTATTGTTCTCGTAAAAAAAAACACACACACATATATATATATATATATATATATATAAATTTGGCCCATTAATTATTTCTTTAGGCAACTTCATAAATCATACAATGAATGAATTATCATGTTATTAAATAAAAACTAATTTATAAAACACAATTAAAGAAACTAGAAATGTATATGTGTAATACAATAAAATACATCTCGATTATAAAGTATAAAACTCGAACTTGATCCATCTTTCGTTCGTTTCCATATCCCTTTAGATTTTATTTTATAGTTTTTTAAAAGAGTAAGAGAGTTTTCGGTTGATCATCAATAGTGAAGTCATTGAGACTTTTTATGTCTTCCAAGCATCATGTGCGCTTAGTTATCATTAGATGCGAGCGATGTGAAATTTATCTGGTTTATCTAGTACCATAGAAGAAACTGTTTTCAGGAAGTAATTAAATCAAAAGCGTTACATGTAAGGTTTGTTTAAAAAATTGTGCAAGACTACATTAAAATTTCTATAGCAACTACTGATATGATATTCATCAAAATGGATTGTTGGTAGGTGTTTTAAACTCGGTAACTCTTTACCAGGTAAAAATATTTTTTTCTCATTTATCAGGTAAGACTCTGGATCCTTGTTATGTCTCTTACCGAATAAGATTTTTGATACTTATCATACTCAATTAATAAAATAAGCGATATCAGTAAGTATAGTATTTACCAGATAAAGTTAAAAACCAAAGTAACATATAAAAACAATAATGAGCCGCCATTAGTATCTAATTGCAAAACAACACTAAAACAACTATTTAATTTTGACATCAAAGCACTCGAACCAAAAAAATATGTTGACAATTTCATGAATAAACAATTGATCAAGATTCTTCAAATCTCTAGTGATGATATTAGTTTTGTCTTTTTATTTACGTGTCATTATCAGTTTTATCATACTGGTGCATTGTATGTTTAGTTTGATAACGACCTTAAAACAATCGTAAATCTATTGTGTCAGATTCCGTTCAATCTAAATTACCTTTATTTATTATTTTGTTAGGAGGCTGTTTACCTAAATGCTTATCCGGTAAGTGCTTACTGTTATAAGTCAACACTAAAATTTAATTTACCGGGTAAGATTGTAGCTGATCAAAACGTATCCCATGCAACAATTTATCTAGTAAGTGCTTACCCGGGTAAGACTCTCCATCATTATCATCGTTCTTACCGGATAAGCTTTTTGGCCCTTGTCATGTTCATCCGGTAAAGAAAATTAGCCAGTAAGTACTTACCGACTAAGCGTTTAGTAAACGGCCCCTAAGTCATCCTCAACTGAAAACAAGATATTTTTCTTAACCTTTCTTGTCCAACCATATCATATCAAATCTGTAAATTTTAATCCTAATTTTAGTTTTATGATGAAATTCAAATCTAATCTCATCAATTCATACATATTTATAGCAAATCTTTTATTGTCATCAGAATTACAATTATTTATATTAAAATATATACTTTAGCATCATAAAAGAATATATAATATTAGGTCAAAATTACCGGCTTAACACGAAACTCACCTTCAAAGACATCTATGTGATGAGACATTTTTTAACTCACTCACCGATTGAGACTAACAGAGAGCAGATCGAACTTGAGACCTGTTTTGTATTTGGATAAAGTCGTCCTGCCTTTTTACTAGTTGAGCTACACATCAAAATGAAATATAGTATGTAATACCTTTTTTTAGTAAGCAATAAAACGTGACCAAATTTTTAATGAATTTTTTTAAATATTATTAAATTTGTCACCATAAATCGTTCAAATTTTAAAATCTTCGTCCTTATATATTAATTCAATTATCAACAAAAAAGAATTATTATTTAAAAAAAATTATATTATTAATCTTAAAATTTTAAACATAAATTAAATTATAATAAACATTCTAATTTTTTTTTAATTTATACAGGGTTTTCAAATTTATATTTTATTGAAACATAAAAATTTATCGTTTTCTCAAAAACACACAACACTGTATTATAAAATCGATAAAGACAAAGAATAAAACGAACCATTAAAATATGAATATATCCCACTATATTGCATGAATACACTTCTAACATCTATAATAATGATGGTTATTTTATTTAAAACTATTTATATGTGTTATATATTAAATCTTCGTCGTTATATATTAAATCTTCACGTTTTTTAGTATACTTTCATAATTAATAATTTTGTGGTCTATATTTTAAAACCAAATCACCATTGAAATAGGTTCTAAAATTTGTGCTCTCGAATGTTATTGATTTTAAAAGTTAATTCCTCAAAATTAAATGGAAAATTTATGTTTTATGGAAAATTTGTTGTATTTTTAAATGTTTGAACAAATTTAGATAAATTACAAATTAAAAATTATTAATATAAACCATAGATTGGTAGCAAAATGCCAAATATATAAAAACATAATATCTTTTGGAATAGGAAAAGGGGGGAAATGAGAAGCTTCATACACAATTTCTTATGATGAAGACCAGAAAATGCCAAAAAAAAATCTTATGGTCCATAAAGTTTACGCGTAAAAACCAATTTCGCTCGAAAATGCAAGTATCCAAGGAGCGTTTGAACGAAGATATTGATGATGATGATGGAGCAATACACACTACTTGAACCCATGATCGATCTTTGCCACACCCATGAACCCATCCCCAACCACTGATCTCGAGAATGGATAACACCTTTGATATTTCATAGTTTGATGTGTGTAAAAAGGGTCATCAGTAAGTATGAGTTTTATTTTTTATTCGTCCTATCAATGAGAATCCTTGAAATTAAATGTATAGGAGAGAAGAATAATATTTTATAACAAGGTGTTGAATATTTTAATGATATGATTCATAATGTAATCTCCAAAATGGAGAAATTGTTGGAGATAAATATTATTTTTGGGTAGAAATTTTGACTTTTGATTCTACATTTTGAAAAATATGTTGAAAATGCTTTTATAGACACAAAATCAATATTATCTAGCATTTTTTTTTTCAATACATAGCATTGTCGATGTGATGATCGCGTTATTCGGTTACAAGCTAGGGGTTGTTTTTGAAAAGTATTGGTAAGTTAAGGGGTTAAATGTGTTTATGTGCTTATTCTTTTTAACCTCACCGCCTCGTGCATAATTGGGTAATTATATGAGACGTTATAAGTTATCTCATTGGGATGAAATATGGAACATAAGAAAATTCAAAAAGGAAGTTTTTGTGTGTGTATTCTTTGGTGAGATTAAAACAAAAACTGAAAGAGCAAGCTGATTTCTGTAAATCCTTGTCTGGATACTTATTGCTATTTCATCATCCTATCTTCATCTACGTAGATCATACGGTGAGTTTAATTTTACAAACTTTCCTTATTTGGAAACTGGATGTAAAACTGTATATGTGAGTTGTTGTTATAAAACTGTTTTTGATGCCATAATTGGCATATTTGTGAGACTTTGATATGTTTATATCATGTGTTGGAATAAGGGTGATATATCAAGGAGAGGTGTATTTTGGTTATAAGGATGACATATTAAGGAGAGGTGTATACTAGGATAAGGGTGACAAAATCATAAGTTATAAAATCTGAGTTTTGATCAAACATTCATTGTTATCGTATCCTTATGATGCGATGATTTGGAGTTGTCGCATCTATGTAATGCGATGACTTAAAGTTATCGCATCCTAGTGATGCAATAAAAAGTGGTTATTGCACCTATATGTTGCGAAGTTGACTTATCGCACATGTGTGATGCGACAAATTGGGTTTATCGCACCAGTGTGATGCGATGAGTTGATGTTCTCGCACCAGTGTGTTGCAAGGAGCTGGGGTTGTCTCACCCTTGTTATGCGAGAAAATTATCTATATGATGCGATAAGTTTACTCAGAAAGTGTTTATCAGGTAATTTGATTATTTTGATGCGATAAATGAGGTTTGTTATAGTAAAATGATGTATATTTGTTATTTCTACAAATATGATTTCATAAATGTGATTTAGTGATTATTCACCATGTAATAGCATCAATCGGATTTCTCACTAAACCTTAAGATCTAAACATTAAGATCTAAACCTCATTTTGTATTTTAAAAATATACATTACAAGTCGTGCTCGATCAGATGATAAAGGGAGGGGAAAATTGTGAAGTGATAATATTATGCTTGCATGGATTATTGGGCTAACATAATCTTCTTTTGTATCTAAATACTTATATGTATTCATGTGTTGTATAGAGATTTTGTGGAAAAAAGAAAGTTGTTAGCTATTTTGTAATATAGCTCTTGTAAGATATTGAAACCAAATGTATAAATTATATTTCTTGATATATAAAAATATATATTTATATATAAATATGATTTTAAGGTGTTACAGTCAAGTTGTTCCATCATAAACAATACAATATTGCTATATACTAATAAAATGGGTCCCTATTTTTTAGTAACCAAAATGATCATTTTGTTTCTTACAAGCCTGCATGTGTCTATGCCTAACTGATCCATTAGGTCCATCTCTAACGACATCGAGAGACAAGTATTGGTTGTCTGTGTCAGCCTGAAGCCGGATTAAAACTTAACATGCTTCTAAAGAGCATAATTTCAAATTCATGTGACTATTGGATTAAATATGTAACTCAACAAGATTGTTCCATTATTAATTATGATCTCAGTAAAAACATAATCATATAATATAAACCGGTATACATTTTAATAATATTGTAAACTAGACAAACGGATACCCATCACAATTTTTAAGCATCATTCATGTATTTCATTAACTTATTTCACGTGTTAAATAACAAATAATAAATTAAAATTCGTAAAAGATTTGGTTTGATTTGGTTTTTATTAACAAAAATCCAGAAGAGAAAGTAATGTGGGGGCAACCCATCGTCATCTTGTTTCAAGACGACATGAAATGAGCCTACACTATTTTTTGACCCTACCAAAATGTTCTTCTTCAGACCCGTATTTCATCAAAGATAAGAATTGCCCCACTTCTAATTTCTCTGTTTTAAAACACCCTTATCGTAATGGTTCGACATGCGAAATCCGATACTCCCCAGCATAACAGAGGCTAGACGAGCACAAATTGTCCCCGAGTGTCTAGACAGGTGGGGGGCTATGTATAGATATCCCCAAAATGGTAGACCTCGACTTTGATACCATGTGAAATATGTAAAACCCTAAATTATATTACTCTCCACAAAAATCCTTTGAGGAGAGAAAGGAGGTTATGGAAGAAAAACAATTAATTTAGCCGAAATGAGACTCTTAACACCACATCATTGAGAGGAAAATCATAGTGTCGTGTAGCCAAATTCGAACACACCTTACATAGTGTTCCATTTATAGTTTTCTTGTGTCGTTCTTTGTTCTTAAGCTTGTCGTATTCCTCATTTATGGTGTCGAAATCTCATACAAGCGGTATCAAACGTAAACCTTGAAGCTCAGTTAAGCACACGAAGAAAGGGAAAACATGCGCATCCATCATCAAAAATAGTGTTAATAAGATCCAAAATCAGATACGGATTGTTTATCTCCAGAAATCATACAAACGAACAACCAACAAAGCTGTATACATAGAGAACTAACACAACCTCTTCTTTATATATATATATATAACCTACTTGGTCAAGTTAGCTAGACTACCGTTTAACATTTACAGATTTTTCTAACAGATCGAAGGAAGAATCGTGACCGTTATTTCTGAACTCAAGTTAGATTCTTGAAACAGAGTACGAATCTGATGAATCGCTGAGGTGGACAAACTTCATGCGTGTTTACAGTGCAAATAACACTCGCATACAACTGTTCTACTTCGAATGATATGCACAAACCTCGACCAAAACGGAGATCAATCCATGTAAAACTGCACACTTAGTCAAGAAAAATAAGAACTGCCAAACCCTGCACAGAAAACACGGTGATTGTTGATCAGATGAACCTGGTTTACGAAGGGATAATATCTTTGCAAGAGTTCATTATAACAAAACCGGCTTGGACATTAAGGTAGTGTTTGGTACGCAGACTGGATGGGACAGGACAGGACAGGACGGGACAGGACTAATTGTCTGTCCTATGTTTGGTACGACTAGGACAGGA